CTTCTGTTATGTAATTAATTTGGTGATATTTTTAGTTAACCTTTAAAAGAGAGGAGTGGGAGAAGGCATACCTAAGGAACTAACCTAAGAATATCTGCTAAAACCCATTGGCCCACACATTAACATTTTAGAGAAAACTTGCAATTTCAGGGTGATGTGATTGTCAGATTTGATGATGTCCGTGTCGGTTGTGAAGGAACAGTTCCGTTCCGATCAAATGAGCGAATTGCCTTCCACTACCTCATTAGTCAAAAGTAAGGGCTTCTTTCTCTTCCAAATTAGACAAATTAAAAAGTGCATTTGATTTATAGTTTATCACTAAATTTTAGTATTATCATGCTTGCTTTTGCTAATAAACTTTTTACATGGTTATATCAATGAGCTTTTACCTTTGTAATATTAACACCTTGAATGCGTACTTTGCACTGTTCCCCAGATTTTGATGTATGTTTGTATGATAATTGTGAGGTTAAATTTTAAGTAGCATTCTGTTGTACAGATTTGCAGGTGATACTGCAGAGCTTGGGATCATCAGAGCAGGGACATCAATGAATGTTAAAATTGTTTTAAATCCACGAGTTCATTTGGTAATGTTTTATATTATAGACATTTGGTACCAATCAAATTCTTGACTTTCTTGATCTGATACTCTCTGTTTTGTAATTTTCTCTCTCTCTCTTCAACTTCAAGGTTCCATATCACATTGATGAAGGTCAGCCTTCCTATCTAATAATTGCTGGTTTAGTTTTCACACCCCTTTCAGAGCCATTGATCGAGTATGTAGCATTTATTCTCATATTTGGAAGTATTCATGGTTTTTAGTCTTGGGAGAACTTGCTCCTTTTTGCTGGTGTTTTAATTGTTATTATTTCATTAATTCTTAAACCTTTGGCAGGGAGGAATGTGAAGATACTATAGGGGTAAGTTCTAAACTTGTATGGGTCAACGTTAAAGCACAAAGTTGAAAGCAATTAGTTTCTGAATGAGTCGCATATTTTTTCCTTCGTCAGCTAAAATTATTGGCAAAGGCGCGCTACTCATTGGCAAGGTTTGAAGGGGAACAGATTGTAATCCTTTCACAGGTTGGTTGCTAGATTTCTTCTATGAAAATTTTGTAAATGATGTTTTGTTGTATTCTTGGAATTGTTGCATCACATGTAGCATTTACTTTTGACCTTGATATTCATTTTGTTAATTTACTCAACAATGCCATAGCATTAAGCATTTTAAAGTAAAATGTTAAGTTTATTTGTAAGGTACAGGTACTGTGGTCTAATTTTCTTTTGCTTCTCTTTCTGATTGATAGGTCTTAGCAAATGAAGTCAATATAGGTTATGAAGATATGAGTAATCTGCAGGCAAGTCATATCCAATTTTTAAGATTGATTGCCACATTCCCCCCACTTCATGTGTGTTTCTCAAATAATGTTATTTTTTTGCAGGTTTTAAAATTAAATGGAACTCGAATTAAAAATATCCAACACCTTGCACACCTTGTTGATTGTAAGTTGTAGCCTTCTTTATCTATTGTGCATTCATTTTCTTTTGCAATATATCTCAGGACTATCCTGTTGTTTTGCTCTTGATCAGCATGCAAGGATAGGTATCTGTATTTTGAATTTGAAGCTAGTTATATTGCTGTTTTGGAGAGAGAAGCTGTTGCTACTGCTTCGTCATGCATACTAGCAGATTATGGTATCCCATCTGAGAGATCTCCAGATCTATTGAAACCATATGTGAATTCACTCGAAGGTGAACCATCAGCAGAGAAGGAATTTGGCGATATCCCGGTTTCAAATTATGAAATTGGGGTCGATGGGCTTTTCTGGGCATGATAAATTTTCACTTGGAGTTGTCAGTGTGAATTTCTCATTGCAGCAATACTTGAAGCAAATGGTCACATTTTGGGGCAGCAAAAATTGCAGCCATAGTGTCAACTAACTTTGATGTGAAGTGTGAACACATGAATGGTTTTATGCTGCTACCCTTGGGGCATGTAAGAAGCAATAATATTTTCTTCCCTCCTCTTAATTTTTGGGTTTTCCGGAGAGGGATAGGAAAGAGCTTTTCACTTAGTTTTTATTCTTTATTATCATTCTCATTTATTTGATAAAACCTGAATGTTCACTTCAGGTTTGATCTCATATTTTCATGTTGCATTTTATATTTTTAGGCAGTGCACATAAGAGTGACTCTTAAAAACCTTCATGCATCTGATGTAATATTTTAAGTACATTTCATTAAGCTATTGATGTCTTGGAAATTTAAATTCTGTTCCAACAAGAAAGAAACTATGGCATTCGAATATGTTTGTGATTATTAAAAATTAGAAATCATTTAAATATTTCAATACTAATTTCTATATTTGAAACTTCTTATAACAGACCAAAACCTTAATCTAGAGTCTTATACCAACTAGACCATCTCAACTTGATGAACAATCTTAACAGCAGTTGGTGGAGTGGGGTTACTGTGATGTAAGTTATTTGCCATATAAGAATGGCACTATTTACACAATTTGCTGCTCATGCTCTCTATTCCCTACCACTCAAAATATCATGTCATTTTCATTCATATTTAAAAAGTAGTGTGGTGTCTACCCAACAATCAAATACATATCTTAGTTTCACATGTCCTGTTCATTATTGAAATAAGGAATGTGAAGTGACCCAAAAACCCACCAAATTAAATAAGGAATGCATGAATGAATAAATACTATTAACTTAATTTCTAATGATTTCATTATGTATATAAAGCATTCATTTCCATATTTCATTCAAGTGGAGTAAATTGGCTTGCATGGATTTCCTTGTGCTTTGCATTCATCTTTTTGGTGTTTACTTTTATGTCTTGGACACCTAGCTAGCATTCATGTACTCCATAAGGTAGTGACTTACTACATCATCTTTGTCCTGTAGCATACAATGTGCAGCTGTGACATAAAAAAAGTTCTAAATCATCAATTGGCACTAACAATTAGGAGCCCACCACCACTTTTTGTAGACCCCTTTTAAGTTTTGTGCTTTAATCATGAACCTTCTCAGTTTCTCCAACAAGGCAACAACAGTACAGTTTTCTCTCTTGAGTCACATTTATTAGACTTCATATCATAAGGCAATTGATTTTCACCCTTCTTTTATGGCTTCCTTTTGTTTACTATTCTCATCAATGTTCATGGCCTTAATTGCATGCAACTGTTCATTGGCCTTAGCTTCTATGCAAAACATGCATGTTTCAACCATCTCAGCAGCACCAGCTATGTTATCAGATGCCCCTCTAGCACTGTCACCAGATATTGAGCCTCTTTTTCCTACACCAGGTGGAGCTGCTTTTTCTCCATCAGAGTCTTCATTACCTACCATTCCTTCGAGCCCAAGCCCTCCCAACATTGATGTTTTTGGTAATCCAGGATCTGTATCTGCTTTTCCACCATCTGTGTCTACTCCAGCTCCAGCTCCAGTTTCCAAGGGCGCGTCTCTGCCACTTTATACAATTTTACATCTTGGCATGATGGTAATTTGCATGATGAAGCTTCATGGCATCTGAGTAGATGTTGGTGTTTCTACTTATGGTTCTCAAAGCATATTTTCTCAGCATTAATGTTAGGCATGTTTGACTGATGAGTGGTGGTAGTAGTAATAATGTGATGTGTCTAAAATTTAAGACTAGTAGACATTTTAAGTTTGTTTATATCAATCAATTCAGATCAGAAATAAGCCAATATAGCTGAGGAGAGGTCATGTTAACTTGTGCTGTTTAAGCTTTTCTCTTCATTATCAATGTAAGTTAGTTTTTCCTTCCCTTTTTTGAGTATATACTATACTCTATTGTTTTATTACTTCCCATGATCATTAAATTTATTTTTATTTCATTGTTTCGCTTTAAAAAATGCATTGTCACTGTCATTGAGTAGAATGTAGAATTCAGTAGATGCAAGGACATGCTCCCTCTTCTTATATGACCATTGATTCCAGTAATTGATTGTCTTGTGCACTTTCCCTTGAACCACATAACAAATTTGATGTTGCAGAAAGAACCTTTTAATAAAGAACACTTGGCATTGAGGAACATGAGAAACCATTTGAAGCATGAAAAGGAGTGATGGGGCTATTGAGTGGGATAGAATACATAGATGAATTAAAAATTGAGACATCTGAAACATATTAATTAGTTCTATAAGACATCTAGATGAATGCATGTATCACTAACAAAGGGCATGAGTAAAACATTAATTACTTATATAAGAAAGTACACTAGGATTCTCTGTCTTTGTATACCAAAGGTCCCTAACTCCCTATATAAACATCTCAGTTAAGATCTGTTCTACAGAATTACTCTAATCACTAACCTTCTGAACTACATCAAGAGAGCTATAACTTAGTCTGATTCCTTGTAATCCTGCCATAAAACCATTTCTGTGACAGTGCTCTCATGACTTCATTGAACTCAAATGAGTTCTTCCATTTCTTCTTAGACTCCTCAGGAATTAAAGTTCTCAACTTTACAGTCTCCTGCTTCAGGACATCCATGGCTACACTAAGGTGTCTTATCACCTCTATTTTATCTTCATCTTTCTGCTTGAGTTGATCCTTCTGTGCTTTATTCTCATTTTTAAGCCTTTCAACTTCTTCCCTCAGCACCATTACTTCACCATATATTTTATCTTTCTGGTTGATTTCATCCTTATAAGCCTTGTTCACTTCATTAAGTCTCTCAATTTCTTTGCTCAGCCTCATAACTTCATCATTTGCATTCACAAACACAACTTCATTCTCTTTTGTGCAGTTACTCTCTTCCTCTTCTTTCTCAGGATCATCAACTTCAGATTCCATAGACTCATCTACATCACAATCCTCAGAATCAATATCATGACCATTATCTCCAAAAGTAAACAACTTGAGTTGGCGAAATCCGGTGTCTGGTTTAACTTGATCATATCTCTCAGCTAAAGAACGGTGTGTCCTATAGAAATCTTCAACCATGCTTATAAGCTCAGGTCTCTTCTTGTAATACATCTCTGCACGTTTTGCAAAAGAATCTGCATCTTCTTCAATTAATTTTAACATTCCCTTTGTCTTCTAATTTAGCTCTGCAATAAACAACCATCTATAACTTCATTTCCTTATTCCCTATCTATAATCACATACCTTAACTATATCCTATCAATGTACATTATCAACCCATGTATTGCCACATTACTAAAAACCGTATACTTATATACTAACATCAAAATTAAACTCGTATCATAATCAAACTAAGTCAAAAGGCAGATAAAAAATAACAATGAGTCTAAGAATGATTGATGGCCATGAGTCATTAAATTATATTGGGTGTTATTTATTAGTTAAATAATTACTAAAGTAATTAAATATATAAATAATTTAAAATCAATTTTTTCACTCATTAAATATTTAATATTTTATTATAATTCAACAGGTAATATTTATTTATTGATTCATTTTATTTTAATATTTTTTGACACTTTGCAATATTTTTTTCCTAAAAATGCAATTAAATTACATAAATTTATAATATTCTCTCATTGTAAAATTAGGAAGCGAATAAAGCTATGTTACTTTTAAGTAATCTTCTTGGAAAGTAACTTTTAAAACCTCCTTTTTACAAACAACATGTCACCTTCAATATTTCTTAACTTCATTCAACAAAAATATAATTTTATTATAATTAAATAAATAACAAAAATATAATTTTATTATAATTAAATAAATAAATAAATATGTCAAAGTTGCATTTTCCTTTGTTTTTTTTTAAAACATTTGCCTCTCTAATCTAACTCATGAATCAATGAATGAAAATCAACCATGAAAACCAGTGTCACTAAAACCATTCTCCCTAACGCCCATACTACGTATGTCATTCATTTTTCATTTCCCAAATTCCAGGTGTTTGAAAAACTAGACCAACTTACTTTCATAATTTGTAAGAATAAAAAATTGCATAGCATTCATTGATGAAACAAATATACTAAAAAAAATCATAATACACGGTAGCCATAGGTGAAGACTCAATCAAGATTAGTAAATCAAATTAATAAGGAAGAGAGTGGATACCATTGAGAGTGGATTGAAGCCATGAAGATCGTTTAGTTCTGATATGGCTTTCTAGCCACCAAAAGTGTGATGGCTTATTCTTCATTGATGGACTCATCATTATTCTTTTCTCTTGATTATCACCAACGCCAAGAAACTATATATATGAAGCTACACAATGAAACAACAAATACAACCTTGAATTCCCCAACCAAAAATTTAAGGATCACAAGAAAAGAAGTAGCACGCCTGTCATAAAGTTTTATAATGAAAAATAATAATATTTAGAGTGATAATGATATAAGATAAGAAATTTGTTAGGATAAAGTAAGATAAGAATTCAAATCTTTTCACACACAAAAGAAAAAGATAGCAATGAAAAGAACCAAATATATCAGATTTGCATGAAGGGACAAATGTACCGGCTTTAGAAATTGAAACCGCCTCTTCATTCTTTAAAATCCAAGAATGTCATTTCCATATAAAATTTCAAAATAAATCAAAATTGAGATGATTTGTCGGAGGAAAATACGAACTTTAAATCAGTAAGATAAAGTAACGATTTTTTTGTAAAGTTTGATACCCCAGTTTATAAAAACACGGCGAGTTAGCATCGAGTGGAACAAAAACCTTAAAAGAATAGAACTTTGCAATGCCCATCACGTAAACATGAAGAAGAAGAAGAAGAAAGGGATGCACCTTGTTCAAATTTCAACTCGACAGAGTGAGCCGTGTTTTGAAGTTTGAAGTCAGTACTCGATGTCAAAGATTCACTGTGCTTTGCTTTGATTTATTCCGATACCTTCACTATGTTTTGTGTTGAGAGTAAAGAGAATGGAGGCGAGTATTGGTAAGAACTGAGAACATAAACAATTTAAGATTTTGGTTTTAAATTTATTTGTCTTATTCTATGGGCTCCTATGTAGAAATCACCTCTATCATAGGTTGTCATATAGTATATGAATTAGAATGCTCTTACATGAATATGAATAAAAGGAAAAAAATAATAAAATTAATATTTTGATTGGTCAAGATAAAAGATAATGTATGGGGCAAGTGATCTTATTTCTTCTTTCATATTAATCTAAATAATACTACATGAATAAAAAAATTAAAAATAAAATAACATTTTGATTGTTACAAAAGGATATCTTGCTGGACATCGACTATGTAACATATAACTAATGTTATTAAAACTGTATCAATTAGCAAACCGATCAGGGTACTGGTATAGTGGTTCAACGAATAGTTTAGTAATTAAACCGCATGCCGGTTAAACCGGACATACTTGCTTATATATACATATAAACCTATAACAAAAAATTTCAAATAAGTAGGTATTTAGATTTATAATTCATATTCATAATTTACTCCAAATTCACACAAAACAAACAACATTAAGTCTTTAACAAAATCAAAGTGTAAAGTGCAAAACATATATTAATCCAAAATTATCACTTAACAAACGCAAAATATAAATAAATGACATAAATATCAATCATTGAAGTTGAAGAATTGAAAATTTGAGATTTAAAAAAAATGTACAAACCGGCTGATTTAAACCGATTCATCAGTTTTGACCGGTTTTGACCGATTTTCAACCGATTTTCAACCGGTTTTCACCGGTTCTATTGCATATGGGGTATAACATACGTACCGTACCGGTTATGGGTCCGGTTCACCGATTTTCCGGTTAAACCGACTGGTACGGTACGGTACAACATTACATATAACTACACGAGCATACAAGTCAAAATATTTTATGCATTGGTAGGACTTATGAGTTTCAAATTCATAGCAACAAAAAAATGGAAGGTGAGTAAATATTATGGTCTTTCTCTTTGCAAATTGTCTAAAAGTAATATAACCAGATACTCTATTTAATGAATATGGAAAGTAATAATGATTAGACCGTTTAATTCTATGATTTTTTTAAATTCAGTTCTAATATCATGTTATTTTAGAATAGAATTCTCCTATACCATTCTTTTATATAACTCTTTGTTATTAATGATAAACATATATCTCTTTAAAAATTATAGATATAAAAAGGTTATCTCCTTGTGATAATTTGATGTGGAACATGAGGTGTCATTAGAGTAAAAATTGTGAGTAGATGATATGATCTCAATTAAATTATTAATGACAGTACATTAAGGATTTAGTGTTAAATGTCTTTATTATAAGTTAATTGTAGAAATATGATTGAAACTATGATATTGAATCATATAATAACTTTTTTCATTAGACTGTAAATGAATTAAGTTCTTGATGAAATATTTGAGTTTGATTTGTTAATTGCCTAAAACTTGCACTTGGAGTTGGGCTCTAATTATTTAAATGAATTAAAGCTCAACCTTTATAAACTTTAACATTAAAAGCACATTTTTGTAATAGTACATATAATTTTTGGATTTTTTTTTCCGTGATCAAATGATTGTGAATTGTGTTTTATGATTTATAGTAATAAAATATATATTAAAAAATATGCTTTATTATAGTCCAGTATAGTTAAATTTTTTAATTTTTTTTTTGAAAGAATTATATAATAATGAAGCTCGAACCTTATATTTTGAGGATTTTCTTAACCTTGGATCTAGTTGAAGATAGGATACTATGTACATTCTAAAATTAAACGTTTAATATATTGTGGATTTAACTTTTCAATATATTTTTACCCCTTCATAATTCTTTATCCTCAACTTTAAGGAGTGGGGTTAAGAAAAATCTATTTTTGTTAACAAGTGAAACTTAAACTTTAAATTTAACTCATTTATAAAATAAATCAAGTTTAAACTACATAATTTTCACAAAAACAATTTTAAAAATGAACTTGTCCGATTCATTTATAGTGGTTAACAATATAGTAAGCAAATACACAGGTTTTAAATCTGATATAATGTTTGGTAAAATTATGGTTGGTAAAGCTAGACCTACAATTACTACAAGTTAAATTTGTTCCTTTTAGGTCCAAATATGCATGTATTCTTTTTTATTTAATACTATAAATTTAAAAAAAAAAGTAGGCACATTACTATATCATTGATTCCCTAATAAAAGGTTAGTCACTCATTTTTTTTAGAACAAAATCCAACAAATGAATACATCACTGTATAAATTCAATAAATAAAAAAAGCAAGGTTGGAGTTCATTACCATTAGGGGAGAAAAGAATCATTATATTATATTTGTTATGACTTTTTCAACTATCCGTTATATTCAAATCTATTTTATATTAATTAATCAATATTATTAAATTTGGATAGTCATCGATTATTGAGTCAATGTTTAGATTAATGCGTCATTAGTTAGTTAGATTGATTAAATTGATTTACATTATAAAATTTTAAAAGTTGTATAATATCAACTAAGAAAAGCTCTTATGCTTTGTTTTGGGAAGTTAATCAAAATAGTTTTATGAAACTTGGCATTCAAATATCAAAGCTTACTTTTTAGAAGTTAAAGTTTCCTTGAACTTCTATTTACCAAAAGGCTATAGCTTATAAGTTAATCAAAAAGTTAGAAGCTCAGATTGTTGAACAATGCAAGTTTTTTTTGGAAGAGCAACTCTAAATATTTGTTTTGTAAGTTGATTTATTATCTTTTATTTGTAAATATTTTTTTTTATTCTACACTCTTTATCTTTTAAGGTGTCACCTTTTATATCAAAGTTTAAATTTGTTGCTTTATTTTGTACATTTAATTTTATTTCTGAAAAGAAAACTTCAAATTTCATCATAATGTAAATTGTAAGACAAGCAAAATAAGTTAACTTCTAAAAAGAATGAACTCGCTAAAAAAAATTAAAACTCGGAAGGATGCATATTATAGCACCTTGAAAATTTTCAACAGTCATTTTTTCTCGTACACATTGAGGTTATAACAAAAACTTAAATTATTTAGGAATCACTCATCTATAATTATAACCATTAAGTCTATCTAATATATAAATATAATTTTCTACCTATATGTATATATTAAAACAATATAAAAAAATTAAGATTGTAATATCTATGCAATGACAATATAAAGATTTATACACCTTCAGTATAACATCCGTCATTTATTTGTATTATTTCTTATTAAGATAATTAATGATAATTAAATATAAATGATACAATGATAATGTATATAATTTTTCTTAAAAATTAAATATTGAAAATTGGGTAAGTTGCCTGGCATTTGTCCAACAAATTTTTAGGGCTGAACTAAATTGAAATAGGGTGCTAGTTTTGGGGTCATATTTTGAATTTTGGATCTTATAATATTTAAAAAATCCCTTTATAACATATTCATTTTTCTTAAATTCCATAGTTTAACTTTTCCATTATTCTTCTCATATCTTCATACACGTTGGGGTCATGCCAACATCAAATTGGAAATATACATTTTAATGGCAGCTCATCTCTGCTTGGACTATAGAAATTTCATCAAAATCACAAATTTTAGAACACCAAACTTTACATTTTTCATTGTTTGATACAACAAAAGTGACATTTTTTTCCTCACTAAGTACCCCACTCATAAGTCATAATATACTAATGTATATTGTCCTCTGTTGTTGAAGCAGGAATAATAGGTACAAATCCTCTACCTCCAAATACAGGGCGCATGAAAGTATCATCAAATGTTCTCCAATATTGATGGACAAGTTTACTCGAGTCTAGTGGGTTTCCAGCGTCTATGCTAGATTCTATATCTTGCCCATTTGTTAGAAGAGGTAGATTTTTAGCAGAAAATAAACCAGATGAAATTGAACTCTCTCCTACATGCATATGTGGATCCAACAAGAACCTTACTAGAGGCTTGGTTAGTAACCCACCCACCTGCATTCATCAAATACATTCTAAATAAACATGCAACCACATTATTATTAGGTAAGGAATGCTAGAAGTGAAGAAAATGGTCCCAATTTTTATTAATAATTTTACCACATTAGTTAACAGAACAACTGTTATGGTGCTAGTGATCATGATAGCATTCCCTTGAACTTGTGTATGCCCTGATGTAGTGAACTAGAAAAACAAATTGTGTCACAAAACTAGTGGTGAAAAATACAGAAAGATTTAGCCATATATAGAATACAATCCATGCTTGTACCTTATTATATGCAAGTGCAATGGATACAGCACCTCTCATTAGCCCAGACCACCATATAACAACCTTTTTGAAAAAGAAAAAGTAATGAAGACTTGTTCTAGGTTCAAGATTTTAAAATACTCAGTAAAATCTCAAAGCACATACCTGCTGCTTAAATGCAATCTTGTCATTCCTAGACTTTCTGAATAAATTAGCTATAAATGATAGTGGGAACACAAAAGCTGCCCTTCCTATTAAAACCAAGCTAAGCAGTATTGCACTTGTTCCAAATAATGTCCATGGACTGAATGAATGAATGAACATGTCAATTTTCTGAAGTTACTTGCAACATAAGTCACATTTATAAAATATAACTAAGGTTGGTTAATGTCTCTAATTTTATACCTGTTGCTGGCAAATCTCCACTTCTCTATATCCAAGGCATCCATACCAACATACAAGAAGATGAAAATCTCCGAGATTAAAGAGAAAGTTGCAAAAGCATGCCTAAAGATATAGATAAACAAGATAAGGAAGATGATAACATCACTACTTCATTAGCATTTGGAAAAACTAAATGAAATTCAACTTAGCTTCTATTTTACCTGCTTGTGATTCTAGAATTCTCAGTGACATTATGCCAAGTGTAGTGAGACATGACAATTCCACAAAAGAAGACAGTAAGGATCCCACTTAAATCAAGAAGCTGGAAGATGAAGTTCCCAACATTTAGTACAAATATGAAACTTTA